GGCGATGATTCTCCTGTGTCGTGAGCCTCGACTGGAGAGCAGAGTGAAGCACATCGACGTCAGATACTTCCTCCTTCGAGAGTTGCAGAGACGCGGTCAGGCACGTCTGGACTTCGTGGCCTCCGAGGCCAACACTGCAGACATCTTCACCAAGGCCCTTCAGCCTTGTGACCACCGCCGGTTTTGTCTGCAGTTAGGCCTCGTTTGAGACTGGGTCTAGTAGACTGTAGTAGTGAGTTCTTGCCTCTTGTTTGTTTGTACTATATATATTAGTTTGTACTCTCTTGAACTGGCCTTGTGGCCTCTTGTGTGTGCTCAGACTGTGTGGTGACGTTGTGATCCACCCTGAGCTTTGTTTGCTCTCTTGCTTGTGACTAGTCTTGTGACCTTAGGTTGTGTTTTGTTGCTTGGCATTCCCCACTTAGGCTATGGGGGTGTGTCAAATGTTATAGCCTCTAGTGGGTTATGCTATATAGGGTACAAACAGTTAGGGTTAGGCATTTGTACCCCAACACCATCAATCTAACTCATTCCGCTGTTTTTCACTTTATGAGAGTTACGATATGGATTGTTAAATGGCATTCCTATAATAACAAAGTTATGCTTTCGTTGAAACTTGCACGGATTATGTGAAGGTTATGTAATGCAATAGTTTCTATACAATCTGATTGGATTATGTGAAGTTTGTTTGCTTTGGATTTGCTCCAATGTTTAGCAACACATGTTTCTTCAGAAACCATTTGATGGATTTTCTCCATATTCTCGGTTGCTTCTTTAAAACATGTTGTGTGTTACAGTCAGATTACAGAACCCTAACTTCAATCGAGTATTCAAATCCCTCTGCTTTTGTTTTTGCCCCCGGCGAAGTTTGCGAGAGTTCTCAGTCTTGTAACGTCGCCATTGACTTCGCGGACCGTCATGTCAGGATAGCCGAGGCGCGCGATGAAACGCGCTTCACTCTGGCCGGCGCCAAACCTGAAAACCAGGACACAGACCTGTCGCGATCTGACCCGAACTTCTCAGCTGACACCTGTCGGGTCTGGGGGTGAGCCAATTGCCTGGGGAAAGTAACTCCACAAAACATTGAAGTTACTTTCTTGACCTCCAATTTTGGGTAAAGTAGCTAACACCTGAATTCTTGCCACACAGACGCAGTTAGCAGATGTCTAGAAGTAGGAGGAACCTACTACTAGTCCACCGTACATTAAACGAGTTCCAATGTCTGCCATACATAAAACTCGTTCCTCTCCCACGCGCAGCCGCGTTGCGCCTCAGTGGTCAAAGCGTACCGATACAGCAGCTCAGCTTCTCATTTGCGCGGCCCTTGCGCTTTCCACCGCCGCAGATTGCTCCTTCTCTTCCGCCAATCACCCACTGCCGCGGCGAGAAGCCCCCCATCGGCCTAACCAGCGCGTGCTGTCTCCTGCCGTTGCTCGGCCCATCCGCGCCCAGCGCTCGCAACTCCTCAAGCTTGATGCCGCCGCCACCGCGGCCGCGTCCGCGTCCGCAAGGCCCGTGGCTTTGGAGGCGTCGCAACGTGAGCTCGCTGAATTGGACTGTTGTAACGCGCGCAGATAACATTGCCTGAGCTGCAGACTGTGCATGAGCGCTGTGCCTGAGCCTGCGATTGGTGCCTGAGCCGCCTGTGCCTGCGTCCCAAAACTGTTGGCCCTCATACTATGTACATATAGGTCTTGCCATTGTAGCTACAGAGCTATAGAGTAGATTGAATGTAACAATATACCGTATAGGGTTACGACGTTCATCAACCCTCCCCTCATTCTGTCGGGCGCTCATTGCACATGCGTAGTGAGCGAGATTGTGCAGGTGCAGGCGGCGTGGGGCGCGTGGGCGGGCAACAGCAAGGGCACCACTGCTTGCTCTGCGTGGCCTGGCGTGACATGCAGCCCTAACGGACTGGTCATCGCATTGTGAGTGCCATTGCCTCCATTGTCCCCATTGCTCCCACCATTGCCCCACGTGACCACCCTCATTCTAATGCTTAGCTACCCACTGAGTCAAAGGTTATATTTGAGGCGCAGCAGAGGCTGAGTTTCCCGCAAACAATAGTGAGAGAACGTTCGCGTGCACATGGAGAAAATGTTCTCCCAGACATGAATGTGCCAGGGAATGTTTCGCGCAGTGGCAGGGATGTTCGCACAGGAGGCTCGGAAGTGTGCATTGGTGGCATCGTATGCCAAGGAACCGCCCCTGTCGAGGAGTGCGGAGATTTTCATAGGGGAGATTTCGACACGTGCACCTGGCCTGACACCACAAACACACCCACTTGGGTTGCATTTCTCTAACACGTGCGCTTCACTCCAGTCACGTGATTCACACGCCTCAGCTCTCCCGGAGTCTAGAATCCTCCGCAACACATGCATTCATTGCTGTGCATCACCTGTTTCTGTTGTGAATGGGCTGGACTTGTGTGAGCGGTGGTGAGAAATGGGGGCGAGAATTGGGAGGAAGAGATTGAGTGGGATGGGATAGGGGCATGGAAGAGGGGGCGTTGGGAAAAGTGGTGGAGGCGGGGTGGTGGGAGGGGATGTGTAAAGGGGTGGTTTGAAGGGATGGGGAGGGATGGGAGCATGGTGTGGTTGCCTGTGTGTGGTGGGTGGCAGGGATTCAAAGGCCGTGGCGGTGGATGGCAGCGCCGCCATACCTGCCTCCATCACCAACCTCGCTGCTCTGCAGTACCTGTCCGTCCCCACCCACCCTCCCCGCCACTCCATCCACTCTGCATCGCATGCACTTTGCCATTACTCTTTCGCCATCCATCACAGTCCCTCCTGTTCTTGCCATTGGCAGCTGTGCTTAATCGTCCACGATCCCCCCATCTTGCCTCCCACTTGTTTGATAAACCACACTCAACCCCCCCTGCTCGCTGCCTTTGCACGCTCTGCAGCGGTTGGTGCAGCAGCTTGGATGTGGTCTGCACTGAGGAATCGCACTGCACACCTCATTCCGCCTCTCTCCTTCCTTCACTCTTGCTTCCTGCCTCCCACGTCCATAGAGATCTGACAAACGACAAGCTGATGGGGCCCGTCCCATCTCTTGCAAGTCTCTCCAGGCTCACTCTCCTGTACGTGCCCCGCCTCCGCCGCTGGCAATACAATGCACTGCGCTCCTTCTCTCCTCTACAGCCAAAAAAAAGTTATCGCCATCGCTTGCTCCTTTCTCACAGTTATGTTCGTTCTACCACTGACCTGCATGTATGGCACGGCTGACTGCATGTGTGGCATGGCTGACTGCATGTGTGGCATGGCTGACTGCATGTGTGGCATGGCTGGCTGCATGTGTGGCACGGCTGACTGCATGTGTGGCATGGCTGACTGCATGTGTGGCATGGCTGACTGCAAGTGTGGCACGGCTGGCTGCATGTGTGGCACGGCTGACTGCATGTTAGGCATGGCTGACTGCATGTGCGGCACGGCTGACTGCATGTGTGGCATGGCTGACTGCATGTGTGGCATGGCTGACTGCATGTGTGGCACGGCTGACTGCATGTGTGGCACGGCTGACTGCATGTGCGGCATGGCTGACTGCATGTGTGGCATGGCTGACTGCAAGTGTGGCATGGCTGGCTGCATGTGTGGCATGGCTGACTGCATGTGTGGCATGGCTGACTGCATGTGTGGCATGGCTGACTGCATGTGTGGCACGGCTGACTGCATGTGTGGCATGGCTGACTGCATTTGTGGCATGGCTGACTGCAAGTGTGGCATGGCTGGCTGCATGTGTGGCATGGCTGACTGCATGTGTGGCATGGCTGACTGCATGTGTGGCATGGCTGACTGCATGTGTGGCATGGCTGACTGCAAGTGTGGCATGGCTGACTGCATGTGTGGCACGGCTGACTGCATGTGTGGCATGGCTGACTGCATGTGTGGCATGGCTGACTGCAAGTGTGGCATGGCTGACTGCATGTGTGGCATGGCTGACTGCATGTGTGGCATGGCTGACTGCATGTGTGGCATGGCTGACTGCATGTGTGGCACGGCTGACTGCATGTGTGGCATGGCTGACTGCATGTGTGGCATGGCTGACTGCAAGTGTGGCATGGCTGACTGCATGTGTGGCATGGCTGACTGCATGTGTGGCATGGCTGACTGCATGTGTGGCATGGCTGACTGCATGTGTGGCATGGCTGACTGCATGTGTGGCATGGCTGACTGCATGTGTGGCATGGCTGACTGCATGTGCGGCATGGCTGACTGCATGTGTGGCATGGCTGACTGCATGTGTGGCATGGCTGACTGCATGTGTGGCATGGCTGACTGCAAGTGTGGCATGGCTGACTGCATGTGTGGCATGGCTGACTGCATGTGTGGCATGGCTGACTGCATGTGTGGCATGGCTGACTGCATGTGCGGCATGGCTGACTGCATGTGCGGCATGGCTGACTGCATGTGCGGCATGGCTGACTGCATGTGTGGCATGGCTGACTGCAAGTGTGGCATGGCTGACTGCATGTGTGGCATGGCTGACTGCATGTGTGGCATGGCTGACTGCATGTGTGGCATGGCTGACTGCATGTGCGGCATGGCTGACTGCATGTGCGGCATGGCTGACTGCATGTGCGGCATGGCTGACTGCATGTGTGGCATGGCTGACTGCATGTGCGGCATGGCTGACTGCATGTGCGGCATGGCTGACTGCATGTGCGGCATGGCTGACTGCATGTGCGGCATGGCTGACTGCATGTGCGGCATGGCTCACTGCATGTGCGGCATGGCTGACTGCATGTGCGGCATGGCTGACTGCATGTGTGGCATGGCTGACTGCATGTGCGGCATGGCTGACTGCATGTGCGGCATGGCTGACTGCATGTGCGGCATGGCTGACTGCATGTGTGGCATGGCTGACTGCATGTGCGGCATGGCTGACTGCATGTGCGGCATGGCTGACTGCATGTGCGGCATGGCTGACTGCATGTGCGGCATGGCTGACTGCATGTGCGGCATGGCTGACTGCATGTGCGGCATGTCCTCAGAGCCATGGGAGCAGACGGCAGCCAGCTGACTGGCACCTACGAGGAACTGGCCTGGCTCTCCTCCCTCTCCAACCTGCAAACGCTGTATGCTCTGCACACTGCCACGCCCTCCTCTCAGTTCACACGCCCCGATAACTGAGCCACTCGGCATGCAGTTGGCACTCCCAATTCGCCTATATGCCATGCTGCCCTCATTGCTGCACGCCACGCACATTTCTCCAGCAACTTGTGTACAAGACCCATGTTGTGTGCCCCACCCTCCACCCGCCCCAAAGCTTCTCGTACGTCCCACAACCCTTCCACCACCACCCACCAGGCATATACTTGGTTTGGTGGAATTCACGGGGAGCTTGTCCTCTCTGCACATTCTCTCTCGTCTGGAGAAACTTCAAAGCCTGTAAGCTCGATTCCGGTGCACTGGGAGCCGGTGCTGCCTTGATGCGTCAACTCGTGTAGTTCAGATCAGTCAATGTGTGAACTGACTTTCTGGTCGCCTCTTATAGCCTTGGTAGTAGGGTTGACTCTCATTGTGCTTTGGTAGTGTTGGCTCTCATTGTGCCTTGGTAGCAGTGTTGACTCTCATTGTGCCTTGGTGGTGTTCACTCTCATTGTGCCTTGGTAGCAGTGTTGACTCTCATTGTGCCTTGGTATTGTTTACTCTCATTGTGCCTTGGTAGCAGTGTTGACTCTCATTGTGCCTTGGTATTGTTGAATCTCATTGTGCCTTGGTATTGTTGACTCTCATTGTGCCTTGGTATTGTTGACTCTCATTGTGCCTTGGTATTCTTGACTCTCATTGTGCCTTGGTATTGTTGACTCTCATTGTGCCTTGGTATTTTTGACTCTCATTGTGCCTTGGTATTGTTGACTCTCATTGTGCCTTGGTATTTTTGACTCTCATTGTGCCTTGGTATTTTTGACTCTCATTGTGCCTTGGTATTGTTGACTCTCATTGTGCCTTGGTAGTTTTGACTCTCATTGTGCCTTGGTATTTTTGACTCTCATTGTGCCTTGGTATTGTTGACTCTCATTGTGCCTTGGTCTTTTTGACTCTCATTGTGCCTTGGTATTGTTGACTCTCATTGTGCCTTGGTATTTTTGACTCTCATTGTGCCTTGGTATTGTTGACTCTCATTGTGCCTTGGTGGTGTTGACTCTTCTCCATGTGTGTGCATGTGCATGTGTGCAGGACACTCAGTTCGCTCACCAATGCCACGGGGGAGATACCCAGGGAGATCCGATACCTCACAGCCCTCACTGCACTGTAAGCTGAGCTGCACACGGGTCCAAGAGTAGTTCGAATGAAACACACTTCTTCACGTGCACGAGCGGGTTTTCACTGACCGCCCATTTGGCACGAGCCCAGCCCTCTACCATGACTTTATCCCTGTGCCGTCCCCTTGCCATCCCACTGCATTCTCCCCTGCAGTGATTTGTCGTTCCTGCGGGCCTTGGAGTTCCCTGCCTGGGTGACTCACCTCTACAACCTTCAGTATCTGTGAGCCATTGCCATTGCCGCACACCTACCGCCCTTGCTGCTGCACACACGGCGCAACGGCTGGAACAAGCATGCCACGGGCATGGTCTCTCCTTGTTTAAGTGTGGGAAGTCTCGCAAGCATGCCCTTGTCCCAAATCCCTAGACTCCCTGCCCTTGTCCCCCCGACCGCCGCTGTTCCTGTTCTCTTGTCCCCTTGCCATTGTCCCCCTGCCCTTGTCCCCCTGCCCATGCAGCAACGTGAACGGGGATGAGCCGCGGCGGCAGGGGCTGTTGTCTGATGACATCTCGCACCTCACCGCACTCACCAGCCTGTGAGTGCAGCGTGCAAAATTCGCAACCTTCAGTCACATCACCAGACATGACGCAGAGGCCCAAGCATTTCGTTGTACGAGTGTGGGAATGGCTAGGCTCATCGCAGCAGCTGCTGCAGCAGCTGCAGTAGGAGAGGCCACCAGGCAGGCAGGAGGGTGGGTGTGCTGTGATCCTGCGCAAGTCCCTCCTTGTGTAATCCTCGTGCCGTGCGTCTCGTGCCTGGTGGCACGCACTGCAGATCTCTCTTTGGAAACAACCTGGAGGGATACATGCCTAAGAGCTTCTCATCTTTCCTGAACCTGCAATACCTGTGAGCCACTGCCATGACCCCCCGTGTTCATCCTGCCATGATTCCATGCTGGCATGCTGCCATGTTCCCATAATGTCATGCTGCTTCCCATACTGTCATGCTGCCATGTTCCCATACTGTCATGCTGCCATGTTCCCATACTGTCATGCTGCCATGTCCCCATCCCATTCGGTCATCCTTCTTAGGTGCTGTTTCCAATCCGTTAAGCTGAAACCCAGTGAATGCATATCTTCTGAACCCCAGTACGTACCTGCATATGCAACTTACAGCTCCGCCTTCATCTTGTTTCAGGGCTTTAAATTACAACCATCTTCAAGGCACCATCCCCGCCACCCTCTCTGCCCTAACAGCCCTCACTGCAATGTAAGTTCCCAGCATCCACGCCGCTTGCCCCTCCCAACCCTCGCTCTCTCACCATTTCGTTGCTCGCTCTGTCCCGCCCCCTTGGTCATGGACTCCAGCGCTGCTCTTTCTCCCCCCCTTCCGTTGCAGAGACCTCTCATGGAATTATCTGTCTGGTTCCATCCCGCGTGCCTTCACCACCAACATCCAAAGCATGTACGTCTCACATTCCTTTCCTCAACTCAAGCTCCACCTCCCACCCCACAATTCCCTGTATCCTCTTCTTCCTCTGTAAACCCTCATCTGAGAGAGAGCTCTTGCACTCAGTAGGCGATTCACGCAGGGTTGAGTTGCTGATTTTGTGCCAGTCATTCATGCACTCTCTAAGCCAGTCGTGCCAGTCGTGTACTGCCACCCGCCAATCCCCAGCCCCGGCCCCGAGCAGCAACCGCAACTTCTGGGTGTGGTCAAGCAGGGGGTTGCGCAGCATGCCGCACGTGTCATTCGGCTGTCGGATGTAGCAGGCCGATTAACCACCAGTGGGAGCGCCTGTTGCAGCTCTAAGCCGTTGGGTTCCTGGCGTTTTGGTTTTAGGGCTGGTGCCTCCGCTGGACGTAGCGTCGCGCCCGCTAGGCACGAAGGGAGAGCCGTGCTGGAGGTAGGATCTGAGTCCGTAAGGCAGAGCAGCTGCGTAACTGATCAATGGAGGGTGTGGTCCAGGGGCTGCAGCAGGTACGCGGTGTAGATTATGGTCAAGGTAGGCAGTAAGGCCCAGTACCCCAAGAGTCCAGGAACGTGCAGAGAAGGCCTCCTCCCTAAGCGGACAACTCCTCCATTGGTGGTACCTCCAGGGGGCTGGTCGGGCGAGGAATGAAGCTCGCCGACTGACGCATCGGTTGAAGAGGAGGAGGAGGCAGAGCTGGGGGTCCATGTGGGCCAGGAGTGGTAGTGGTTCCGCTGCGTTGGCGAGTCGTGCCCTTGCCATCGTTGTGCGGCCTGTTGGCAAGACTTGGGGGCTCCCCAGCATGCGTATGGCCGCTGGGTTTGCCATGATGCATTCTGGAAGTGTGCTGGGGTTGATGGAAGGGGCTGACCGTGCTGCACGTTTGGCTGGGTCGTGTTGGAGGCCCAGCCCAGCTGAGTAAAGGCTGTGGTGAGGTGTGTGAACGCCGCAGTGAACGCGGGCCCATTCCTAGAAGGGTGATGTCATCCGCGTAGGCCAGTAGGATGGCATCAGGGTGAGCTGCTGTGGCCGCGGCGACGCAAGGTTGGATATCGTCAAATAGCAAGGGCCCTGGTGGAACTCACTGGCGTACCTACCGCGCGCTCAGTAAGCGACCCGCGCCGAAGGCCTGATTGAAAAAAAAACAAGGGGGCTCCTTTGTTTGCTCTCGCAGGTGAGTGAGTTGTCGTGGGTGGCTGCATTTGAACAACAAACCCTGCTTTTCAGGAAATATGGGGCAGCATATTGACGAGGTTGTTGTGCTTGGTGGTCCTGTCTGCTCCGTCCCTGCAGCCTAGGGTGAGGTCCAATATGGGTTCTTCCTTCTGTACGTGCAGTTTCACGGACGGGAGGTTGAAAGGGAGTCCCTTCCGGAAGGCCAGGGAAGTGGTCGCTGCCCAGAGGTGAAGCACAGGTCATGGCTGAACGGTATTGCAAGGAGCCAGTCTCCAGCTCCCGGGCCTTGAAACACCATATTGATCATTTGGAGGGGTCTCCTTCCCTTCCCATCCAGATCACTTGGCTACAACGCCTTTAGTGGCCCCATTCCGCCTCACCTTGCACTGCCGCAACTTTCTTTCCTGTAAGCCCAGCCCCTACCTGCTGTGCTTCCTTGCACTCATTACCAGCATCCCATAAAGTTGGCCCCTTTCTCTCTGCCCTCATCTCTCTGCCTGGTTTCATCGTCCACACCTGTACCCTTGCGTTTCCTTGCCCCAACTCTCTCCCCGTGCCCTGCTGCGCGGCCCACCCGTGCCTGCAGGCAGCTGGCCAGCAATGAGTTCACGGGCGGTATTCCCACCACCTTCACCCGGCTCACCGCCATGAGTGTGCTGTATGCCTCACCGCCATGAGTGTGCTGTATGCCTCACCGCCATGAGTGTGCTGTATGCCTCACCGCCATGAGTGTGCTGTATGCCTCACTTCATGGGCTTTGAATTTGACTGATCATTGCTCTCCCTTTTCCAGTGAATGTTCTTGCCTAGCCTTACCTTTTCCCCTCGCCTGCATCCCACGTGCCTGCATCCCACGTGCCTGCATCCCACGTGCCTGCATCCCACGTGCCTGCATCCCACGTGCCTGCATCCCACGTGCCTGCATCCCACGTGCATGCATCCCACGTGCATGCATCCCACGTGCCTGCATCCCACGTGCATGCATGCATGACAGGGACGTTTCCAACAACAGTCTGAGTGCAGGCCTGGACGTGGTGGCTCAGATGACATGGCTCACTGACATGTGAGTGCCTAGCCTCCTCCCCGGCCCACCTTACTCATTGTTGCCCCCTCCTTTCTGGGTCTCCCCTTTTCTCCTTGCTGGGCCCCCCCTTTTTCTCCTAGCTGGGGCCCCCCTTCCCTCCCTCACGTCGTTTGCTCCCTGCAACTGGCAACAGCTTAGCCCCTCGTTCGAATGCGTGCCCTGCAGAAGCCTCCACACCAACAGCTTCTCCGGGGTGCTTCCAGCAGTCCTCTCTGCCATCACAGGGCTCAACTTCATGTCAGTGCCTCCATCCGTACCTCACTCACTCACTCACCCACTCAATCACTTACTCACTCACTCGCTCACCCACCCACTCACTCACTCCTCACGCACTCACTCACTCAACCACTCACTCACTCACTCACTCTCTCTATCTCTCACTCACGCACTCACCCATTCAATCACTCACTCTCTCACCTCCTCCATGCAGCAACAACTGTGTCTCGCCTACCCACACGCTTGTTGTGGGCCTCATGTGTTTGTGGGCGATGCATTTGAGAATCATATCTGTTTTCCTCGCATGAAGGCTTGTGTGTTCCTCACAAGCCCAAATGAGAGTCTGTGTGCCTCTGCGTTTTTGCCTCCACCTCGTCCTATTCCCACCACATGTGCCATGGGCATGCACCAGAACCATCGCCAACAACCACATCACGGGAGTATTTCCCCAGTTTCTTCTGCACATCCACCACCTTTCATATCTGTGAGACACGCCCTTATGGTTGTGGACAAAGGTGGGTTGCAGTGGAAGTTTCATGTAGAGTTGTTGCATACTGTAAGGAGTCTGTCGCAACTTCTCACTGGCAATGGAGATGGCAGGGATCTGAGCAACAACAGCTTCTCCGGATCCATTCCCCTGCAATTGACCGAGCTACTGGAGCTGGTAACCATGTGCGTGGTGCCCCAAGGATATCACTTGTCCCATCGACCTGGTCTTACTTGATAAACTGTATGCCACTCGATTCTTGAGGACGGGGTTTCCATGCTCTTTCGTCAACTGATTTCCAAAGCCAAGCCTCTTCCTTGTTCACGCCTAGCCTATATCAGCGCTTGTTTGTTCACGCGTTAATATATTTCACTTGCATGTTCACTCCAATGGTGCATGAATGTCTCCACATGGGCTCAAGTGCTGCACTCTATTTGTCGTCGCTTCTGAGTGACTCGGCCAGCAATCTCAATGACAACAACTTCCATGGATCAATCCCCTCTGGCGTCTTCCACCTCCCCATACTTAACACTCTGTGAGTAACTCCATGGCGCTTTTGCTTGGCCCTGCTATTATAGAGATTGCATTTCGAAACAGCCTATTGCGAGGTTTGTAAATTAACTCAAAAAGTTAGTTGGGATTCAGAATTGTTGTGTTATTCCAAAACGTCCTCCTGCTGCCAAATACACAATCATTTCAAAACGTCCTCCTGCTGCCAAATACACAAGCCTGATCCTAACACCAGTTAAATAGCCTGCAAAGGCCCAACTTGTGTGCCTACTACTCGGGTCCTCCTTGCATCTCATCATTCTTTACCTTTTCATTCCCCTTATCAGCTTCCAGTGTGACAGCGGCTCTAGTGCATGCATGCAACCACTGTTAGTGTTAGCCCTCAATCTCACACTTAGTATTTTATATTTTCTATATCCTAGTGTAGTGTAGGTTGCACTTTGTGTTTGGTTGGGTGTACACCCACATCCCAACCAAACCCAAATGTAATCTCCAAGCAATCTCCAACCCACCAATTGGAGATTGCATTGGGATTACCCCCAACCCTAGAGATTGCCTGCAATTCCCTTCCCATCCATTCCCTTGCCCATCTTGGATGTACTTAAAGAGCTTCAAGCTCATTACTAATGCATCAGTTCTAAGCCTAAGTTCTGACAACCACCACTTCCCTCTGTCCCCCCTTCTGCCCAATGTAGGGAAGTGTCAAACAACTTTCTTTCCGGGAACCTTCCAGTGAAGCTTAGAGCCTCCTCCACACTTGCCACGCTGTAAGCAGCGCCACCACTGGCTGTGCTGCCACCACTGGCTGTGCTGCCACCACTGGCTGTGCTGCCACCACTGGCTGTGCTGCCACCACTGGCTGTGCTGCCACCACTCGCTGTGCTGCCACCACTCGCTGTGCTGCCACTGTCATCTTGCTCTCCGTGCGGATCATCCCTGGAGTGGAGTCTGCCTACCTTCCGTTGCCCCGTGTGCAGTAGCCTTGCAGGAAACGGCTTCACAGGCTCCCTGCCAGACTTCTCGCTCTGGAAGGGCAACTTTGAAACGCTGTAAGCTTCTTCCTCTCCCTATCTACCCCTCCAACACCCCTTCCCCTGCCAACTCTTTCTTCTTCCTGTCTCAATCCCCTCAAACATTCCTGGCAATTTTGCTTTCCTCCCTGGTGGCAACTTTCTGATCACTGGCATGTGTCTTGCCTTGCCTCTATCACATTGCTTGGGCTTGTGGGTGCCATGCTCCGTGACTGAGTGCTGCTCCTCATGCAGGGCGCTGAGCAACAACAACTTCACAGGGCCCATTCCTGACTCCATCTCCACGCTCTCCACTCTGCAGGCCATGTGAGCCTCAACTGCTGTTGCGCCCTCACCACATGCCACGCACCACATGCCCTGCACCACATGCCTCACCCACCTCTGCCGAGTGAAGTGTCTTCTTCTCACCCAGAGCAGATCAAGGACAGAGCTGGCATAGAGTAGCACCTAGCAGCACCTGGTGCCTCATGCGCTCTGCCCTTGCCATACCTCATGCGCTCTGCCCTTGCCATACCTCATGCGCTCTGCCCTTGCCGTACCTCATGCGCTCTGCCCTTGCAATACCTCATGCGCTCTGCCCTTGCCATACCTCATGCGCTCTGCCCTTGCCGTACCTCATGCGCTCTGCCCTTGCCATACCTCATGCGCTCTGCCCTTGCCGTACCTCATGCGCTCTGCCCTTGCCGTACCTCATGCGCTCTGCCCTTGCAATACCTCATGCGCTCTGCCCTTGCCATACCTCATGCGCTCTGCCCTTGCCGTACCTCATGCGCTCTGCCCTTGCAATACCTCATGCGCTCTGCCCTTGCCATACCTCATGCGCTCTGCCCTTGCCATACCTCATGCGCTCTGCCCTTGCCGTACCTCATGCGCCCTGCCCTTGCCTTACTTCTGCAGCATCCTCGACAGCAACCAACTGACGGGAACCATTCCAGCTGCCATCTTTAACATGACGAACCTACAATCTCTGTGAGTCTTAACTGCCCATGTGGTGATGGATTGTGGGTTGTAGAACGAACCTTTGCACCTCACTTCCCTTCTACTATGGCGACGCTGCTTTCCTGTGTCAACATGCGCTGCTCTCCCATATGCTGCTCTTGCTCGCAGCTGTTGCTTCCATTCTCCTCTCTATACGCCCCTCCATGCTCCCCTCCATGCTCCCTTCCATGCGCCCCTCCATGCTCTCCAGCTATCTGGCCAACAACCGTCTCAGCGGCAGTCTGCCGTCTGCCATCAGTCGCCTGGAGAAGCTCCAACAGATGTGAGGGCCCTTCCTGCCTGCCCCCCCTGGCTGCGCTCCCTGCCTGCCCTCACTTACTGCCCACTCAAGCAGTGAGGGGGAGCGTGTTGAGCAGCAGGGGAGGCAAGGGGATGTGCATGGCAGCGAAGTGAGCCATTGGGGCAAGGGCGCGGGGCAGCTTGACGTTTTATCAGTCTCGGGGTTCTTTTTCTAGCTTGCAATTTCTCTGAAGCGGTCCTTGTCCCCCGCTCCCCCCATCTGCACCCTCCTGCGTCGGGTTGAGCGGTTCACATGTTTTCTGGATCTCTTTCCTCCTTCTGCGTGCCAAGCGGTCCGCCCTGCCGAACCCACCCATGTTGTGTGCCTTCTGCCGAGCCCCACTGCACTCTGCTGCTCTCATGCCCCTGCTTCTGCCCCTGATTTTCCCCTGCTACTGCCCTTGCTTCTGCCCCTGCTTTTCCCCTGCTACTGCCCCAGCTTCTGCCCCTGCTTCTGCCCCTGTTTTTTTCCCCTGCTTCTCCCCTGTTTTTTACCCCTGCTTCTACCCCTGCTTCTGCCCCCGCCTGCCCCCCGCAGCTGGCTGGACAACAACAGCATCGAGGGCCCTCTGCCATCCGCCATCTGCTCGCTGCCCTGGCTGTGGCGCATGTGAGTGGCTGTGGCGCATGTGAGTGGCTGTGGCGCATGTGAGTGGCTGTGGCGCATATGAGTGGCTGTGGCGCATGTGAGTGGCTGTGGCGCATGTGAGTGGCTGTGGCGCATGTGAGTGGCTGTGGCGCATGTGAGTGGCTGTGGCGCATGTGAGTGGCTGTGGCGCATGTGAGTGGCTGTGGCGCATGTGAGTGGCTGTGGCGCATGTGAGTGGCTGTGGCGCATGTGAGTGGCTGTGGCGCATGTGAGTGGCTGTGGCGCATGTGAGTGGCTGTGGCGCATGTGAGTGGTTGGCATATGTTGCTTGGAGTGACAAGGAGATGTTTAGGCATTTGGATGGATGCAAGCTGTGAGCAGTGCACAGGCACGGGTGTGGAGGGTGTGCTGGAATTGTGGTCGTCCCGGTGCAAACAAGCCCGTCCCGGTTGAATGAGGCACCCCTGGTGTGCCCGAACCTTACCAGAAGCAGCTGTTGCGAGCTGCAGCTGTGATGGAAGAGGAGAAGCTCAAGGGAGGCAAGGCTTGGTACTGTTGACAAGAGCGAGAACTTTGCAAGCAGTAATATTCCTGCTCGAATTGTGTGCATGTATGTGAGGTGAGGTGACGCGTGCACTTAGCAAGACTGCCGCGCAAGGCAAATAGACAGTTCGCCAGAAACAATCATATCATGACATACCCTGGCGCAAGTCTGTGCCACAGATATTCGTGTATCTACTTATCCTGCTTATCTTAGCTCATCTTGTCTTCTTGCCTTGTCTCTCTTTTGTTCTATGCGGCTCCGTATGGTGGGACTTGTGGTGGTGGTGCGTGGCATGGCATGGCATGGCATGGCATGGGTTGTGCTGGCAGCATGGTGAGCAACAACCATCTCTACGGGCCTCTGCCAGACTGCCTCTTCGACAAATGCGTCAACCAGATGTGAGCCCACCTGCTTACTTCATCCATCCCCACTACCAAAGAGTGCTGCGAGGTATGCTGCTCACTGCTGTCAGTGCGGACAGGTGCAAAGAGTGGTGAGAGCCATGCGTTGAATGTACGTGCTGCTGACCATCAAGTCATCGCTCTAGCAAGCCTTTCTTTCTAGCCCTCGAGTCTGTCATGTGCCCTTCTCCCCCCCTGCAGCGGCGTGAGCCGCAACAGCCTGTACGGGCACGTGAGGTGCGACATCAACAGCATGGTGGCGGGCGGTGAGGCGCTCATCAACTTGGCTCACGGATCACAGACCAAGCACCAACCTCTGTTCCCCCCCCCCCTCCCCCCGGTTCCCTGCAGCGATGTGAGCAACAACAGCCTGTACGGGCGCATCAACCACGACTTCAACAGCATGGTGGCGGACGGCGACGCGCTCATCAACCTCGCACACAACTTCTTCTATGGCGACGCCGTGCTCTTTGCCGCGAGCTGCCGGGTGTGCCCCGAGGAGATCTCCCAGCGCAACCAGCTGCAGCTCAGGGACAGCAGCGTGGGGGTGGCAGGGAAGTGCAGCGACGCCGGCTTGAATGGTCAGCGTGACTACTCGGTGGCGGGGGCAGGCAAGGGCGCCAGGGGGAGTCTCGCAGGCAACTGTCTGACCCTCAAACGGGATGTGAAGTGCCCGTCCAACGCCACTCAGCGCAGCACGGCAGCCTGCCAGGCGTTCTGCAGCATCACTGACAACGGCCCGTGTGACGGCCATGGGGCGTGCGTGCCGCCTGCACCGGCCGCCCAGGCCAACTTCACATGCATGTGCGATGCCGGGTACTCCTCCGTGGACCTGGGCAACGGCTCCACCTGCGCCATCCTCAACTCCACCACCACTGCTGGTGAGGCACCCTCACAAAACACAGCTCACCATCCTGTGCTCACATCTCCCTCTGCTGCCCTTCCTTCCCATACCGCATGTCCACCTCCATCACCTCCACTCCCCCCCTCTTTCTCCCACCCCCCCTGCTCCCCCCTTGGCAGTGTCGTCGCTGTCAGCAGGTGCAATCGTGGTCATTGCTGTGGGGTGCTTTGCCGGGTTCACTCTGCTCACTGCTGTGCTCGCCTGGCTACTGTGGCCCCGTGGACAAAGTAAGAACCCCAACAATGCTACCATGTCTTCCCTGCACCTCCCCCCTGCCACCATGCCTGCACTACAGCGCAACCTCCCTGCCGCCCCCACCTCTGCACCCCTGCTCTTCCCACTCGCTCAAACCCTCGCTGAATGTGCATTGCTGCATGGTCTCCCTCCGTTCACCCCACCTCACCGTGCTCTGTTGGGGCACAGGGAAGTGGGAGGGGCTGGACCTGTGCGAGCAGTTCACACTGCAGCAGCTGGTGAAGGCCACGGACAACTGGGCGCCTGAGAACGTGCTGGGGAAGGGCGGGTTTGGCACCGTGTACAAGGGGTGCTCGCCGCAGGGGCTGCCGTGGGCAGTGAAGCGCTCCACTGTCATGACCAACGACTTTGAGACCGAGGTCAGCCTCTGCCTTGCTGCCTCTACACCATTGCTCATCTCCCGCCTTTCAGCCACAGCACCGTACCGAGGCAATGGGTTCATTGTTAAGCCCTGCAACTGGCATATTGCCTTCTCCCTTCCCCAACGACTGTGCTGTGCGGCGCATGCAGGTGCGCGCCATGGCATCGCTGCACCATGTGAACCTGGTGCGCCTGCTGGGCTTCTGCCAGGACCAGAACGTGGAGACGGGCAAGCAGGAGCAGATCCTCGTGTACGAGTTCGTGGCCAACCGAGACCTGCACCACCACATCTACAAGACCAAGCGTCAGTTGCCCTCGCACCATGTACTTTAGCAGAGAATGTCAAAAGTTGCTATGCACAAACACACTTCCAGAACCTCGCTTCGTGCGTGCTTGTCGTGCTCTCGCTTCCAGACCCTCTCTCGCTGCGCCAAAGGCTGCGCCTGGCGCAAGGAGCAGCGGAGGGCCTGGCGTACCTGCATGGGTTCGCGACGCCCATCATCCACCGCGACATCAAGCCCGCCAACATCATGGTCTCAGCCGACATGCACGCCAAGGTCGCCGATTTTGGGCTGCTCAAGCAGCTCACTCACGGCGATGCTCATGCCACCAGAGTGGCGGGCACACCCGGCTATGTGGACCCTGACTACAACCGCACTGGCGTCATCACGGCCAAGAGCGATGTCTACAGGTAAGCATGGATGGCGATCTGGCATCTCACGACATACTGGAACACTGATGCCTTTAACATGCCTTCTCTCTCTCTCTCTCTCTCTCTCTCTCTCTCTCTCTCTCTCTCTCTCTCTCTCTCACTCTCACTCTCTCTCTGGCCAGAAGGACGGGTAAATAGTTGCTAATGCACAAACACACTGTTGCTGGTCATTGATTTCTCCAGCCGTTTCCATGTCCCCATGTGTGCCTGCTTGCAGCTTCGGCATTGTGCTCCTGGAGTTGCTGAGTGGAAGGCCACCCATGTCTCACCGTGGAACACATATGAAGATCTGGGTACGTCCATGCCAGAATGAATCGTGGCACTGCCCCTTGCACGCCTTTCCTCCATATCATGCTACCTTGCACCTTTTGCTCTATACGATGCCACCTTGCTCCTTTTCTTTTTACTTCACCACCTCGCGCCTGATTAGTATTTATTATGCTGCTGTGCACCGGCTGTTCTCTGTGGTGCAGGCGCAGCAGAGGGTGGATGCATATGAGTTGGACGAGCTCAAGGACAGCAAGCTGCAGGCCAGTGACGAGGCCGTGGTGGACTTTGCTGACCTGGCGCTGGACTGCATGAAGGCGCCCGGCACACGCCGCCCTGACATGAAGGATGTGGCATACCGCCTCCGTGCCCTCATTGACAAGCACTGCCCTGACAAGGAGGAAGAGTGGGAGCGTAGTAGAGAAGAGAGTGTAAGCGCCAGAGAGGAGTCATCTGCCACGACAGATTCTGCTGTCGGGAGCTGGCTGTCACTGGGCTCAAGTTCCAATGGTATCAAGAGCTGGCAGTCACTGGGGTTCTCTTGGGGTTACTGAGCCGTCGCCTATATGCACATTGCCACCAAGACAAGAAGGGGATGTAGGCCCTTAGAGCACATGACTACTTTGTCCCCCGGTTAGAGCCCTGCCATTTCATATTTCATTGGGGATTAGCATGAGGTAAGACGCCATAAGCTACCTGCAATTGGGTTACATGATGACAGTGCGTTTCCATTACTGCGAGCGCATAGTTTTCCGCTATTGGGTTACACGATGACACTAAGAATTCCGTTATTATATTGCACCTTTTAAATGGTGTTTTTAATAAAGAAAAACATGTTTCGATTCGATTATAATCTCGTCTCAAGAACTATGTGTCCAGAGATTTGTCAAAACATGCTAGCTTTACGGGGTACAGAAATCATCTCGACACTCAGTGGCCGAGTGGTAGGAGAGAGTGAGGAATAGTGCCTAACCGCAGCGTCGTTGAAAGTGTGGGCCGACGTCACATTGTGTGGGAGAGAGCTCGTGGCAATCTGTACGGACTCACGCATTGGCGAGCACCTCTCCACGTTCACTCGGAGGCCCGGGTCTGGCTTGTACCGTCATCGCCCGGATAGAAGACATATATGTCTTTTCTCATACACTAAAAAAACTGCTTGGGTTATCTTGTATTTGGGGAGGTTTTGGGTGTCTTATAAGTCTTATAAATGGAAACTTTTTTAAACTACTTCAAAATATTTTCACACATCTTGAAAAGAGTTTCTCATTATGAGTGTGGATGTTGCGAAGGTGCCACTTCGGCAACCATTGTTCGGGGCGCCACGTCATGGAGAATACTTGCAGAGGCAAATTTGCTAGTACGTGAGTCAGCACGTGGCAGAATTCGCGTGTCGCAAGGGTAAAAATGTACGCGGTACTTCAATTTTGACTATAATATATTGCAGTTTCATTTATATGTCTTATCTCGTACACACAAATAGGTGTCTTACAATGAGGCTAGCCTGTTTATAAGGGACACCCGTATAATAGACAACCCCTGTCTACTATTCAACACTGTCTTCTATCCGGGTGATGACGGTACACACTGACCACTAAGTTTGCACAGGTGGCTGAGTCAGGTCCAGTAGCTGGGTCAGGTGAGGTAGCTGCGTCTTTGTTGGTGCAACCCTACGGTTTGCACTCGGCTTGTTGTCCGTGTGCGTGTGTGTGCATGCGTGTGTGCATGGAGTGGTATGAGTGCATGGGATAAATATATCTTTCATGCTTATAATGGTGTGTGAATGATGGGTCATGATATCGAGTGTGTGTGTCAAGTCAGTAGCGAGTTATCGCTAGTCGCGTGTAACGCGGTCATTTTGTGTGTCCCGCGCGGTTTCTATTTTGTCGTGCGCGGTTTCTATTTTGTCGCTTGTCGAACGTTCGGCGTGTCGCAGGTGTGCACAGCAGACCCATCAAGAACTCAAGGATGAGTTTGTGATGAAGAACCCGAGCCTTGGTTTCAAGCTTCAAGTGATTTCGAAGCTCGCCAAAAGGGTGCACTTCAAGATATTGAAGATGGTTACATTACAATGTGTAGTGTAACATTTCTATTGGTGTAGACCCTTATGAAGGGTAGGTTCGAGACCCTTCTTGGTTGGGGACAGTGTGGCACTGTTCCACATCACTGTACCTCGGCTCTTGGGGTTTTTAGGAGCTGGGAGTCATTCCCAACTCGCAACTCTTCCCAACTCTTCCTATCTTGTGTTCTTAGACTATGTTGCTGCCATAGTGCCGTTCGTTCAATCTGACGCTGTGTCGTCAATTCTTGATGAAGTCGTGCGATCTAAATTGCCTATTGTAGGCGACGTTAAGACGCTCCAGATCCAAGTTTAATGATGTCGTTTGGAGCTGTGACCAGATCGCTATGAACGTTTGAAGCCGCTGTACAGAAATCCGACTGTGCACTCTATCTCTCGGTTTAGGCACATTGAAGCCTACTGTGACTATAACAAGTGGTATCAGAGCCCCTTGGAGCAGCTACGACTATGGCTGGACCTGAAGAAAGGGGTGGCAGAGGTGCTGGTGGCAATGGAGATGCCCAAGCACAAGGCCAAGCCCGTGAGTCAGCCGTGGCGCCCGTGCAACCGACTCTTGGACCTTCTAGGGACGAACCAAGAGTGTTCGGGCTTGACAAGTTCAACGGCGAAAACTTTGCTGAATGGTCCTTCAGAATGGAGAATGTATTTGATCACTATGATCTGCTGGAGGTGATGGAAGGAACGGAGAAGCGTCCCGAGAACGACCCGGAGAGGAGCCCGTGGGTGCGGAAGAGCGCACAAGGCTATCTCCTACTTGGGCAAGCGTTGGGGAGCAACCAGATCCGTCACATCAAGCCTTTCCAGCATGAACCAGAGAAGGGACCAAAGGCATGGGCTGCTCTCAAGGGTGTACACGCTCCTGCAACAGCGGCGGTAGCTGTGGTGTTGGAAAGGCAAATGGCGACGCTACGAATTGAGGAAGATGAACCCGTGGAAGACGGGGTGCAGAAATTCTTCGACTTGTTGACGCGGCTTGAGGGAGCTGACTTGAACTACAGTGAGCTCCAGAAGAAGACCAAGTTGCTGGCCCTACTCCCCGAGTCGTGGTCCTCGCTCATCATCAATTTGAATCGCGACTTGCCCCGCCTCTCGCTTGAAGACGTGAAGCGAGCGATCCTACAAGAGGACTTCCGCCGCCGTGAGTTGGCGAGTGCGGATGGCGCTGGGGCAGCAAGCGTCGGCCGTGGATATGGCCGAGGAAGAGGCAGAGGACGAGGGGGAGGAAGGTTTGGTGGCAGCAACTTCGGCGGAGGCCGCGGGAGTGGCGGATACGGCAGTGACGACAAGAGCTACGGGCGCGGTCGTGGCCGATTCGATGGCGAGTGCCATTATTGTCATAAGACCGGACACATGTGGCGCGATTGCTACAAGCTCCCTGATGGTTGGACCCCTGCTCAAGACCAAGAGGGTAGAGGAGCAGGTGGAGGGAGAGGAAGAGGCCGCGGAGGCCGTGGCGGTCGCGGTGGCGGAGCTGCAAACATGAAGAGCGGAGACAACGACAAGGACCCGAGCGACGATCGGTACCCGGGTTTATTCTACTTCGTGTCGACGCAAGTACCAGCTGGTCCAGAGAAGGATGAAGGCTTTGAGGAGCCAGCAGCAGTGGGAAAGGTGACCCTACAACCCCTGGACTATTGGGTGATCGATAGTGGCGCAACCTATAGCATGACACCTCGCCCGGACTTGCTCACCGAACTCGAACCGTCACCGGTGAAGCATGTCACATCGGCTTTGGGGCAGCGAGCGGAGGTGAAAGGCATGGGCAAGGCCATGTTCAAGGGTGCTGATGGGAAGATGGTGGGCCTCAAGAACGTGCTTTGGGTGCCCAGCCTTGCTGCGAACCTGATTTCCGTGCGGCGGTTGGCAAAGGGCGGCATGGACACGAACTCGAAGGGAGCCAAGACCTACACCGCGAGGCTTGGCGAGCGAATTCTATGGGACCTTCACGAGGATAGGGACGTCTACAACGAGATGTGGCAGATCCCTGTGGTCCCCATGCCTAAGGAGAGGCAAGTGGCAGCAAGCGTCAGCACCAAGGGTGAAGCGGTTGGTAGCGGCGATGTCGCGAACGGCCGCGCTAAGGAGAGTGAGCTGAAGAGCATCGAGGAGAATGATACGTTTGAATTGGTGGAGCTACCGGAGAGGCGTAAGGCGATTACGTCCAAGTGGCTCTTCAAGATCAAGTCCGACGCCGACGGCAAGATCGAGCGTTACAAGTCTAGGCTGGTAGCCAAGGGGTACCAGCAAAAGGAGAAGGTGGACTTCAAGGAGCTGTTTGCTCCAGTGGTGAAGCCGACGACGCTGCGAACCCTATTCGCGGGAGCCGCCATCAAAGGTTGGGTGGTGAAGCAGCTAGACATCGTAACGGCGTTCCTCAACGGAATCCTTGAGGAGGAGATTTTCATGGCGCAGCCAGAGGGGTTTGACGACGGTAGTGGCAGAGTGTGGAAGCTGAAGAAGGCCCTCTACGGGCTGAAGCAGGCCCCTAGGCAATGGTACATGAAGCTGCGCGAAGTGTTGGAGGAGATCGGCTTCACTCCCTCAACGGCCGATCACTCCCTGTTCATGCTTGGCGAGGGGGAGCAGAGGAGCTTCATGGTGGTGTACGTGGACGACATCCTGATCTTCTCACCCTCCTCTGACCTTGTGAAGGAGGTGATGCTGAAGCTGCAAGACAAGTTCAAGTGCAAGTCCCTTGGTGACGTGAACTTCTACCTTGGCCTCCACATCGAACGAGACGTGGAGAAGCGGAGCATGCGAGTGTACCAACGGAAGTACCTGGAGGCGTTGGCTGCCAACTCTGGCCAGAGTGAAGGTCATGTGGCTACTCCCTTTCCCTCTGGGTTCAAGTGTGTGAAGGGGCCCGAGGAGGAGAGCGTTGGAGAAGAGGAGAGGCGCCGTTTTCACTCGTTGGTGGGCAGCTTCATGTATGCGGCGGTAAACACCCGACCGGACGTCGCGTTTGCTACCGGGCAGCTGGCTAGGGTTGTGCAATGCCCTAATGAGGAGCAGGTAGCAGCTGGAATGAGGGTGGCCAAGTATCTTGGCCAAACACCGACCGTTGGGCTGCAATACTCGGCGGCGGCACAAAGGCGCCAAAAGGGCGCGGATGGTGTTGAACCCGGGCGTTTGTTCCTCACCGCCTACTCGGATGCTTCATATGCATCGGAACCAGAGGACATGACAAGTGTGGGAGGCTTCATATGCTGTGTTGGTGAAGGCCCAACTGCTTGGGAGAGCAAGAAGCAGGTTGACCAAGCTTTGAGCTCGGTGGAGTCCGAGTACATGGCACTCTTCCGTGCCGTACGGGAGATTGTGTGGCAGCGGCGTTTGTTGGCTGAATTGGGGGAGGAGCAGCAAGGAACTACTCCTCTCTATTGTGACAGCCAGGGAGCCATTTCTCTTGCCAAGAACCCCGTGTTGCACGGCCTGACAAAGCACATGAGGGTGAAGTGGCATTGGACAAGGAGCATGGTG